CATATTTCATATTTCTTAAGAAGATATTAAACATTCTAACTGGAATATGCTTTTCACTGACTGAAGATGGGTCATAATCAAGTCAAAACAACTTGTTTTTGCTCTGCACAGTTGATACTAGACGTGTATTTTCAGCACTTTCTGCTTTAATTTCACATTTCCAGCAAGTTCAGTATTTTGCTTTTATATTGTTTAGCCATTTCAATGTGCATTTATTTTTTAACATACTTCGAAAGTATTTCATTTTGTCTTTATAGTGTGGGATTTAATCTCTCCTGAGATTGTGCAGCTTTATAAATGCAAATTATTTTCTTTCTTTTCCTTTTTTCTCAATAATTTACTTGTGTTTCCTTTACCTTAATATGTTCCAACTTAGATGTTTATTGTACCTTAAGGTTTTTGTGAAGATTTGTAGCTTGGGTTGTGGGCGAGGTAGTTGACTTGCTAGCCGAGCTGGCTGGTTATAGTTCAGATGTTTCATCACCACGCTAGGTAACATCATCAGCGCAGCCTCCAATGAAGCGATGTTGTTCTACTCCGCTTGGTATTTATATGGTCCGGTCTGTTGAGGTGTTCTGTGTCATTTTCAGTTCAGAACTGGAAATGACACAAACACGTCAACAGACTGGATCATATAAATACTAAGCGGGGTAGAACAACATCACTTCTTCGGAAGCTGCACTGATGATGTTACCTAGCATGGTGATGAAACGTCTGAACTATAACCAGCCAGCTTGGTGAGCAAGTTTATTGTTCCTTTTCAATATTAAATGTGCAAATTATTCAAAAGTACCTTTTTTGTCTTCATTGTGTTGTATTTAAGCTGTATAATGTGATACAGAAGAATTGTAAATAAACATTTTTCTTCTAATGCTTTGGCTTGGAAATATTTTTCAATGAATAAGAACAGAAAATGTGAAAAAACACACAGCAGGTCAGGCAGCATGCGTGGAGTGAACGACTTTAATATTCATTAAGTTGAACTGACAATGGCAGACTCAGCCCTGTTCACTCTGTAAAGTCCTCCTTAACAATTTCAGGGACTAGTTCCAAAATTTGGAGAACTGTCTTATATACTAATCAAGCAGCATGATTATATTTATGGAATCGTATGCAGTGCCCCAGAGAACACCATCTCTGGGTATGTGGGTATGTCCTATCCCACCGCTAGGATAGTCCAAGCAGAGGTGGCAGTACAGTAGTAAACCGTTGGGAACAAATTGCACTGGGAATCCTCAACCCCATTTTGTTCCATTGTAACAGGCTAAACAGACAAGCAAACCTTTTGCAGATTACCACTCAACATCAGGTTCAACACCACTTGGAGGAAGCACTGAGAGTGACAGGGGTGCAGAATGTACTCTGGGTAGGGGATTTCTGTGTCCATCACTGACAGCCAAATTGAATAACTCCATATTATCTCAAGAAATGGCTGGAGGTTCTGAATATCACAAAGGCTATTGACCCTGATGCATTCTGGCAATAGTCCTGAAGATGTATGCTCCAGAACTTGGCACACCTCCAGCCAAGCTTTTCCAGTAAAGCTACAATTATTGCATCTACCTGACAGGTGGAAGATTACCCAGTTATGTCCTCTACACAAAAGGCAAGACAACTTCAACCTAGCCAATTATTTCCCCATCAGCATACTTGTGATCATCAGTAAAGTGATGGGGGGTGTCAGAAATGGTGCTATCAAGCAGCACTGGCTTAGCAACAAGCTGTTCACCATTGCTCAGTTTGAATTTTGCCAGGGCCACTCAGCTTTTAACCTTAATAATATAGCCTTGTTTCAAACATGGGCAAAGGAGCTGAATTCCAGAGATGAGGTGAAAGTGACTGTTCTTGATATCAATACTGAATTTGGCCAAGTGTGGCATCAAGGAACCTGAGCAAAACTAGAGTCGATGCGAATTAGGGAAAACTCTGCTGGTTGGAGTCATGTCTAGCACAAAGGAAGATGGTTGTAGGAGGTTGGTCATCTCAACTTCAGGACATCTCTTCAAGAGTTTGTCAGTGTAGTATCCTTGGCCCATACATCTCCAGCTGCTTCATCAGTCACCTTCCCTCCATCAGTTCAAAAGTTATTCGATGATTACACAGTGGTCAGTACTATTTGTGACTTCTCAAGGACTGATGCTGTCATGTTCAAATGCAGCAGAACCTGGACAAGGTTCAGGTTTGAGCTGACAAGTGGCATTTAACATTTCTGCTTCACAAATGCCAGGCAATGGCTATGTTGAACAAGAGAAAAACAAACTATCTCCCCTTCACATTTAGTTGCATTGCCATTACCGTTACCACTACCAACATCCTGAGGTTTACTATTGACCAGAAACTGAATTATGCTGGCCATATAACTACAGTAGCTATAAGAGCAGTGAGGATCCAGGAAGCATGTAGTGAGTAAATCACCTACTTATTCGCCAAAACCTGTCCACCATTTACAAAGTACAAGTTAGGAGTCTGATGAAATACTCCGTACTTGCCTGAATGAATGCAGCTTTCAGGACAAAGCAGCCCACTTGATTGGCACCCATCCACAACTGTCCACTTCCCCAGTAGCAGCAGTGTTCACCATCTAAAAGATACTTTTCAGAAATTCAAGGTTCCTTAAATAGCACCTTCCGAGTTGAACAACACACCTGCAAGTTCCATTCCAAGCCACTCACCGTCCTGAATTTGGAAATGCCTCACCATTCCTTCAGTGTCACTGATCGTAAATGCAGTAAGCAATCCTCTACTCATGTTGAAATATTACCACCAGCTTCCAGACCTATTTTGCCTGTTGAACAACAGATATTTTCTTGTGCTAATTAGGACAGTTTCAAGCAACAAAATAGTATTTAAAAGCTCAACTTCTGTGGGCAAATAATCACTATCAATATGAATGTGAAATTATATTTGATAACATTGCTTATTGCCAGCTTGACATTATGTTTAGTGCTGCTGCTGA